GAAGATGTCAAAGATGATCGAGAAGCCACCATAGCACGATTCTTTCAAGATCTCAATGGATAAATCAGGAACCTAGTTGAGATAAAACCATTCATAGAGTTGGTTCAGTTAGTGTCAATGGCTGCCAAGGTTGAGAGACAACAAAGAAAAAACCTTTGGAGGAAGTATCTACCACCCTCGAGTGCACCAAGACCAGGAGTCCTACTACTCTTAACCTTAGGCTAGATGTGACAAAGCCAGAAGCACCAAAACCTGCAGCTAAGGTTGAAGCTCTAAAGGAAAGGCAAACAAGTTCAAGTGAAGGCATTCAATGTTTTAAGTGTCATGAAAGAGGGCATAGTGTTAATCAATGTCCCAATAAGAGAGCACTTAGAGAATGGAGAGTATTTGTCTGAATCTGAGGAGGAGGCACACGTGGAGAAGGAGACGTTAGATTCTGAAGTTGTGAATCATTGAAGATGAAAGCACCTCCGGGAAGTCTATGTTATGCTAGGAGGATTTTAAAGTGTGCAATCCGATGAAGAGCCAAACAAAGGTAGAACTTGTTCCATACAAGATGTTTGGTGGATTGAAAGTTTCTCTATATGGTAATTGATGGTGGGAGTCTCTCTAATAGAGTAAGTTTAACTACGTTGAAGAAGCTAGGGCTAAGTACATTGAAGCATCCAAAGCCTTGCAGTCTTCAATATCTTAATGAAGATGGATCTATCGAGGTCACGAGGCAAGATTTGCTGAAGTTCAAGATTAGAAGCTGCAAGGACAAGGTCCTATGTGACGTGGTGCCAATGCAAGCGGCACATGTACTACTTGGAAGGTTGTGGCAGTTTGATCGAAAAGCACATGGTGGCTTCACCTACAAGTATAAGTTGTCACATAGAGGTCAAAAATTTGTATTAAAACCCCTATCTCCCATGAAGGTCTATGAAGATCATATTTGAATGCAATAAAATGGAGAAATGGAGAAGGAGTATAAAGCCACCACTAAGATTGAGAAGATTAAGGGTGTCATGGAGCCGAGGGTATTGATGTTAGCTCGTAGTGTAGATGTGAAGTAGGAAATTAATGATCATGAACCCTTGATCATGATAATCTAAAAAGGCGTGCTACTCTATCAAGATTTGTTTCGATGCATACCACCTATGGTTTGAGTGGTAGTAGGAGAGTTTGATGATGTCTTTTCCAAAGAAGCACCAATGTATCTACCTCCAATCCGAGGGGTGGAGCATTCGATTGATTTCGTTCTTGAAGCTACCATTCTAAACAAGGCAGCTTATAGGACTAATCCAGAGGAGACAAAGGAGTTACAAAGGCCTATATGAATGGATGGTGATGCCTTTCAGAATTAATAATGCTCCGAGTACTTTTATGAGGTTGATGAATCACGTATTAAGAGCTTTTATTAGGAAGTTTGTGGTTGTCTCTATGGAACTCTCAAGAAGTGCATGTTTTTTTTACCTCAAGTGTGGGATCTCTTGGTTTCATGGTTAGTGTTATTGGAGTTGAATCCGGTGAAAAGAAGGAGAAGGCAATACAAGCATGGCCTACCCCTACTAATGTGAATGTGAATGAAGTGAAGAGTTTTTATGGGTGGGCTGGTTTCTATCAACAATTTTTACCAAATTTAGCACCATAGCCGTCCCATTGACTTCCACAATCAAGAAGAATGTGGCTTTCTATTTGAGAGAAGAACACGCAAAGGAATTCGAGCTACTTGAGTATAAACTTACTCATGTTCTTGTTCTGATGCTACCTGATTTTAACAAGATGTTTAAAATAAAATGTGATACATCAGGGATGGGAATTGGAGCCATATTGATGCGATAGAATAATCCTATTGCTTATTTTAGTGAGAAGTTGAATGGAGCTATGCTTAATTATCCTACCTACGATAGCTTTGTACATTGGTGCAAGATCTGGAGACTTGGTAACCTTATTTGTGGTCAAAGAAGTTTGTGATAAATACTGATCATGAGTCTCTCAAGTATTTGAAAGCCCAAAACAAGTTAAACAAGAGGCATGCTCATTTGGTTGAGTTGATCGAGTCCTTTCCGTATGTGATCAAGTATAAACAGGGCAAGGAGAACATAGTTGTTGACACTTTATCAAGAAGCTATACTTTGATCACGACCATGGATGCTAAGTATATTGGCTTCGAGAAAATCAAAGGGCTCTATGAAGGGGACTTTGATTTGGAGAGATCTACAAGCCGTGGGAGAAGCATGGAGAAGGGAAGTTCTATCGAAGTGATGGCTATCTATTTTGTGGTAATCAACTATGGGTCCCAAGTAGACCTGGCAAATTACAACCCGACCCGTTGACCCCAATGTAGTCAAAATCCCGATTTTAATCTTAAAATCTTACAATTTTCCGATCTTACCTATTAGCTCCGATCATGATTTTATTGTAAAATCTTTGAACCTTAAAATCCCATAAAATCCTTATTTAAAACTCTAAAATCTTTAAAATCTATGATTTCTACGATTTTGTACGATTTCAAGGTTCACATCAATTGGAGCAAAATGAGGCTGGTCAAGTCCGGTTCTGTCCATAAACCAAGTCAAGTTTACTTCTCACGACCCAACATAATGAACAACGCAACCCTAACCCAATAGACAACACTCAATTCATTTTCATTTTCTTCCTCGTATCTTCCTCTTTCGCACGTCGACTCCCAACTCCTTCCTTCAACGATATCTTCCACTCTCCCAAATAGGTTGTAGGTTTTTCCCACCACCCTCACAAAAATCCAAATCTCCATTCCATTGCAATCTTTCGTTCATATCTCAATCCTTCAGCAGCACTATCCCCGACCTTTTATCAATTAAGAAGGGAATGCATCAATCAATGAGTTATCTTTGTGATCAAGGAAATATGGTTAATGGTGAAAGTATTTCAAGTGATCTTAAGAGTAATTATATTAGTCCTTAAGCAAATAGACAAGGATGAGAGTTAGAGTGAGAGTGAGGGTGAGGGTGAGGATGTTGATGATGATGTGTAAGTGATATTAATGTTGATCCTAACGATCTTATGTAATTTTCTACTCTTAACTATTAATTAAGTGATTTCATTGGGGCTTCAGGTTGCTTATTTATGTGTTTATATTCTGTACAAGAATAGATATATGGATTTAGTTGTACTTATTTAGCAAACAAACTTATTTTGGAAAGTAATTATGTTATATGTGGTTGATTGTTATTCAGGATATGCATTTTTATTACTATATGGTGTTTTAAGTGATTATTTAATATGAACCTTAAAATCTTACGATTTTACGATTTTCATTTACGATTCCGATTCTACCTTAGTTTTCGATTTTACTTAAAATCCCGAATTTGACTGCATTGGTCGACCCGATCCGAAACCGCCGGAAAACTTGAAATTTTGGTAACCCGAAATCCGAATGACCCGAACCCGATAACCCGTGATTTTTTGGGTCGGGTTGGGTTGGTTAGCGGGTCGACCCGTTAGACCCGTTCCATTATATATATCACTCTCAAAATGATAAAATCACTCATAAATTGGTGAGATGTTTAAAAAACATCACAAGGATTTGAATGACATGTTTTGGAGTTTTAAGAATAATCAAATATCATATGTTTCTTGTAGTAGTATTACTCTTGTGATTATTTTTTGACGATTTCCGCAATTTGTATTTCATTTCATTAGCGTGGGAGGATTTTATTATATGTAAGAAAATATGAAGCATGTTTGATATTGTTTCTGAGAACGCTCATAACCCGAAATAACGTGTAACTCGACCCGAAGCCGAATGGGTTGAGTCAATATTTGACCTAAAATCAGCCAACAAACATGACCCAACCTGTAACTGAAGACCCCAACCCGAAATTACCCAACCCAACCCGATTGCCAGGTCTAGTCCCAAGGACATCACTTCGAGAGCTTTTGTTGAAGGAAGCTCATGGAGGAGAATTGATGGCTCATTTTGGTATAGCCAAGACTTTGATTTGCTTACAAGAGAAATTCTATTGGACTCACATGAAAGAAGAAGTGGAGAATCTGTGTGCTAGATCTGTGGAGTGCCGCCAAGCTAAATTACCGGTGCAATTAACTGGATTGTACTCACAACTACCAATACCCTAATGCACGGCACCACACTTTGCAATTTTTCAAATCAAGGCATTTCTTCCTAGTGACCAAGCGCAAAAGGAACATTGTCTTCTCATTCTCGGTCCCATGTGGGGAACATGATGGTCAGATTCATTGGCTAACACCACTTCCGTTTTTGTTGATAGGGGCTAGCACTTGCTTTCACCTCATTTGTTTGTTTATGTACCTTCCTTATACTTTTTTTTTTCTATTTATCTAGTTCCAATTGGATATGGTGTTATTACCACATGCTCTAAATATATTTTTATGTCGATTTTCATGTTCTGTTGGCACTAACTATTGTCTAATGGGGACATTGGATGATTTTACATGTGGGGAGAGGCTTCCATGATGTGTACATGTTTGTGTTAAAATCTTTGTAATATTTTGATAATGTTACACTCTTATGTGCATATTTGTTTCAAGGGTTAATATATTTGTATGGTCTGAACTTTGACCAAAATAAACATCCTGACCAATCTTTTCGATCTATAACATCCTAGCCCAAACTATAGATCAAAATAACTAAATTGGCCAAACCCGACGTATGACTGATAACTTGGATGGTCAAACATGTTGACTAACGGTCAACGACCACATCATTGCCTAGTCTGCACAGAACACTTAAAAAATTTGATTTTTTCCACCTATTACCATTTATCTCTTTTATTTAAAAAAAAAAAAAATTAAAAATGTCGGTACCTTATATCTCCCTGAAATCCATCGGTCCTCACCGACAAGGGCGGTTAATTAGGCTAATTTAATATTAATCTCCTTTACCTTCTTCCCCTTCTCACTAGATCTTTGGATCTTCCGCTCAATGGAGCAGCCCGGAACGATTAGGCACCACACCCGTTAACGAGCCACCATCCAACCACAATCAACGACCTCAGTCACCGGCACAAGGTCATGAAACGATGTGCAAGTAGATTTGCTTCATTCATCGCCTCCTCAATCAGATTCACCACTTTTCTGCGATGATTTTGAGAATGGATTGGATCTCTTTTGATTTGCGGGCCGCGAGGGAAGAAGATAGGGATTTCGAGAATGGGGTGGATCTGTTTTGCCCTCTGTAGCGCCACTTTCGAGTTAGGGTTCTGGTATCTCCCCGTCCATCCTACTCTTTGTCTCCCGCTCGTCGTCCCGACGGTCTCGCACTTCATGCTTGCCTGCTCCGCCACTTTCTGATGCCCATATCTCGACATCGCAATCAAAGATCGATTTTGCAGTCGTAGAGTCTGGGTTTGCGATTTGCGTCAAGTTCAAAATAAGCAAACGACGGCGACAGCTCCAGCGATCGCATATCGATTTGGCAGTGGTGGAGTCTTGTTGTGTTCATGACCATTTAGGGATGTGAGGAAGAAGAGATGCATTTGATCTTTTTTTGTTTTTTCTTTTCTTTTTATATTTATTTTTAGCTTAATTGAAATAATGAGATTATGTGGCTTTTTTGAATTTTTAATCTTTTTTATGCTAACTACAGTGATGTGGCTCGTTGACAGTTAATCAACATGTTTGACCGTCAAAGTTAACGGTCAAACGTCGGATTTGGCCAATTTAATTATTTTGATGAATAGTTTGGGCCAGGATGTTATAAATTGAAAAAATTGACTAGAATATTTATTTTGATAAAAGTTCAGACCATAAAAATATATTAACCCTTGTTTCAACTTGCTTTGAATTACTAGTATTCGTGATCATATGTAATATAGAGATGCCAGTGGAGTTATTGTAAAGAATGACTTCTTCATGAGGCTAAATACTATTTGAAATGTCTAGATACCATGCTTACTCTTTTTTCCTAAACTTAAAAAAAATTCCAATGGCTCTTTCTATTTTGTAAAGTTCTATATCGAGTGATTTATATCTTAATAAAAAAAATCCTACTTGGCAATTGAAATATAAGAAAGTGCTCATAACAAATAAAGTGGTAAAATGACAAAACATGTTTGGCGTTTAATCTCCACTGTTGTTAACAACTTCAGGACTCCATCTGGCGATATTGCGGAAGTGATGAATGACTGGCATAGCGCGGATGTTGATGATATTAAAAGTGACTTCCATAATGTGTCATCCATGCTACGTGCTAGCTGGTTTGGAAGAGAGAAACCAAAGGATTTTCAACCAAGAGCTGTGTTTGTCATATGCTACCTCCCAGAAGATCATGACGAATATTTTGGATTGGATTGTGACACACGGTAAAGTTGACAAATCCTAAGCACTTCAATGGTTCAACGCTTAAACTCGAGGCAGGGGTTATGATAATTGGAGGAATTCTTAATCTATTTCTTCTCAGTCCTCCTTTTACGTCCTCCCCATCAATTTGAAGACTGTTTTTTTTTTTTTTTTTTTTTTTTTTTTTTTCTGTTTGTCATTGTTGTGCCCTTTTTTGGGTGACATTTCCTCTGTTCCTGGAAGGATCCTGCGTCTCTGTTCTGTTTTGCTCTCTTTGGGTTGTTGCCCCTTTCCTTTCTTTCCTGTTTACTTTTGTTCCACTCTCACTGCTCGTGGAGTGTTTGACTCTTTTGATTGTTTTTTTTTAATAAAGTTCATCACCATTACAAAAAAATCCCCAATCTCTCTTTCTTTACTCTCTAGTTCGTACGATTTACGTGATTCTTGCCTTGACAAAGCATAAAAAACCACCTAAAATGTTGGGGTTAATTGAATGGTTGGTCACTGAGATTACAAAATACGTTTAAGTTTGGTCACTCAAAATATTTAAATTCATTGATGGTACTTCAGTTTACGCAAACCGTTCACGTTTGGTCACTCTCCATCCAACTCCGTTAATTTTGACTGATGTGGCAGTCAACTCTCAAAGTTGACCGTTAACTTAGTGACGTGGCAACTAAAAAAACATTAAAAATAAAAAATAACTTTTAATATTTTCCACCTCATTATTACATTTATTAAAAAATAAAAAAACCTAATTTCTTTTCTCTTGTAATGCTAATATACTGATAAGTGATAACAATTTTTAATACTACTGATCTTTTCAATTTAATGACTAATTGATCATGACGACCAGGTGAAGAAGAGGGCTTCCCAAATCTCGGTGAAAACCTCAACGATGATCCTGTTGTGATGACCTTAGTTGAGAGACAAGAAACACTTCAGCAGCTGCTCCAAATCTCTCGCCCCGAATATCTGCTTCTCGATTATCATCTCCACCATCGAAGTCCTGAAATCATTGTAAGGATCGCTCGAGCTTTTCACCACTGCAAAGCTCCCCTACACTTTCCCGTCCAACGGCAACATCCGACTTTTGTCACCACTTTTAGCTTTGTCGGCAGCATTTTTAACGACACCTTTCTTCAAGTAGTCGATTTCGCCTCCTCTTGGTTTCCTCCTCCCCGAATCCTGATTTTCACGGTGACGAGGTTTGCGGCGGCGGTGACGGCGGCGGCTGGCAGAGAGATCCGACGAATCGGAAGAGAAAAACAGAGTATCAGATCAGGGGCGAAGCCAGGAATTCAAATCTAGAGGGGCCAAATTTATTTTCAAACAAAATAATACTATAAGAAAATATCAAATATAATTTATTATTTTAAACGTACACTGCGTCTTTGAGATTAATCACATCACTCAAAATACTACCTATATGGAAAGGGTCGATTACATCTCGTTCAATATATATAGCAAGACCACCGACGAGAAAATCATCACTCATTTGTTGCGTAGTTTAGTCACTAATTGCATGACAGAAAAAGCCAGTTCACCAGTAACAGTAGAGACTAGAAGAGTCAAAACAAAACTAATAATCTAACGGGTAACACTTTCTTGCAAGATCGCATTGCACAATACATACATACTAGGTTAGTTGATAATCCAATAATTAAATAAAAAAGAATAAAGCATTTGTATAAATTTCGTCTAAAGTGGAACTATAGCCAAAAACTTAAATGTGTACCTATATTGAGGTTCTCATTTGGTAAGAGGATAGAAGGTAGAAAACTATAGCCAAAAACTTAAATGTGTACCTATATTGAGGTTCTCATTTGGTAAGAGGATAGAAGGTAGAAAACGTTTATGAAGAGTAAAAATAAAACCTAGGCTCCCATAGTACTCGAAATGTCTACCTCCAGATTAGAATTGACAACTTTCACCAGTACACTATACTGAGATTCATGTCATGGTTCTACCACTACCTATTATTATTCGCTTTCTAAAAATTCCCGGGGGGGCCATGGGCCCCCCGGCCGCTGCACTGGCTCCGCCCCTGTATTAGATTCGTCCTTGTTGTCGTAACCAATTTTTATCGACTTCTCGTCCTTCTTCGCAGTCGCTGCTGAACCAATAGTAACTTCCGCCGAAATAGGCACTGTCGAGGGTGGAAGAACTGAAAAGAGAACTCGTTTCCTGCTTCTGGGTTGTATCCTTCTTCTTCTTCTTCTTGCTTTCCACCCTCTGTTTTTGGGTACTCTATTTTTTCTGGTAGTAAGATAGGGTCAGGGGAGAAGCAGGGGACACTGCAATCAGGATGATAGAGATGCTTACAAGGCATCTGTTACGCCTCAGTCCCGGTCTCGAACTCGTCCTTGCAGACAGCGCATTGATTCATCTCAGAATTCAGGGCCTCGCGGGTGATCTTGACGGTAGGGAGGGCGTCGATGGCCGATTTCGAGGCGGGAAGGGGTTCCGTAGCGGTTAGGGTCGTTCTCGGCCAGCTGCTGGATCAGTTGCTCGAGGCCCGGGCCGATGAAGTAGTCACCGAGGTTGGTAGAGGGCGGATTGTTGTCCATGATGAACTGGATTCTGGCGCCGTCGTTCTGGAGATTGTTGAGGTAGTTGCGGAGGAAATCATAGCGGTTGAATTCGGCTTGAAATTGTACAAAAGAAATTAGGTTTTTTATTTTTTATTTTTTAATGAGTGTAATAATGAGGTAGAAAATATTAAAAATAATTTATTGTTTTTAATAATTTTTTAGTTGCCACCTCACTAAGTTAACGATTTGCGTAAACTGAAATACCATCAATGGATTTAAATATTTCGAGTGACCAACCATGTAATTATTGATTTAGGGCTCGCATAACATAGTTATCCATCATATCTAGGAGGAACATAATCTCGATAGTCACCTTTGATTCTAAATTTCTTTTCCCCTTAGCCAACATTTGTTTTTGTGCTTTTATAGATTTTGAATTAGTTTGAGTACTTTACAGTTCATTTCAAAGTTTTAATCGTTATTTCAAATTTCTAGATGAAATTGTTAATTATAAGTGATAGATTATATAAGATGCATCCCGATAATACTATTTTAGTAGCGTTTGTATCTACAAAGTTAAATCTGACCCTATACAACATTGGATCAATACGTAGACATGTTAATTAAGCGCTAGTGCATTATTGAACCTTTATATATAATAAAATAAATGTAATTTGGGTATATTTAAAGTAGCCTTAGAGATAAGATATTACTTTTACCCAATCCAGTTTCCATTTGTAAGGTGAGTTATAAGTTAAGATACTTGACCATGGATAGGGATGGACTGTTAAAAAAAAAAAGATGGCAACGGGTCGGGTCTGGGCGGATAGTGCATGTCTGTTACCCTACTCAAAGTAGTTCGGGTGTTATCTATACCCATTCTCACATAAGAAACGGGTAAAAATCAAAATCAAGCTCAGACCCGTTCGGATTTTGGGTAACAACAGTTATCAATGGGTAATAATTTCTCTTTATAACTCCAACCAATATGTTAACATTCACACATAGTCTTACATTACATAAGAGAAAAAGTACGACAATGATTCACTAGAATGAAAAAATTAATTAAAACAACTCAATTCATGAAAATATTATATATACATGCTAAATATAACATTACATAAGAGGAAAAGTACATTCACTAGAATGAAATAATCATTATGTTAACATTCACACGTATTCTCACATTACATAAGAGGAAAAGTACGACAATGATTCACTAGAATGAAAAAAATTAATTAAAACAACTCAATTCATGAAAATATTATATATATATATATATACATGCTAAATATAACATATGTTAAACAAAAATAATGATTATTTCTAGACAAAATACATATGCATGTGTATAATCAGGCGAGTTCGGGATGGATAGTGAGAAAACCATGCCCACCCATTACCCGAAATATTCGGGTTCGAGTTTTACCCATACATACTAAAAGTACTTCGAGTTCGAATTTTGCCCTATCTTATCAGATAGAATTCCGACGGAT